AATGGTCCACGAACTCACCGTGTATCTAAAAGGTGCTGAATTTGAACTGCTGAAGAGTTCCAAGCCAGGGTGACGAAACAGCTATCTGGCAGTACTCCCTGGTGGTTTCCCAATGGTGTTCTGTAACCCAATGTCAGCTCATGATAACATCATGATGATGATGATATGTTAAAAAACATTCCATAATTTCTTTTTACTGTTTTTATTTGTTTTCAATGGCAACTTTGTTGTTTTGTAAAACACAAATGCGAGAAGTGTGCCTGTGTGTGTGTGTGTGTGTGTGTGTGTAGATTTATCATGTTTCTATTACTTTTAATTGCTGTTAAATTGAAAAGAAGTTTCGGGTCGGATCACATACACACACACACACACTTACTGACTCATTCCCTCACTTACATACCAAACCCTCTCATTCTTGTCAATAACAGTGACCATTATTAGCCAAATGGTGTTGGTTTTGTTTTTTTGTTGGCCTTTTTGTCTAATAAAGAGGTGATATGATGAAAGAGTGAGAATATCTCTCAGGTAGAGATTTTTCTATTTTTATGGTGTTACACATGGTCATAAATGTAAATAAACAGTGTGTGTGAGAGAGAGAGTGGTTTTATTCATATTTTCTCAGAATTATATATAGTAGTAAGTGGACTTGACTATGGCGCCACTGTTCTCCTTACATGACAGAATTACTTTCATTCATTACACTTATGTTTTTATTTTAAAATAAATGGTTGGGCTTTTTTTTCTTTTAATTTTATGTTTACGACTTTTGTTTTAACATTTTCCTCTTCATGTATCTGATTATGATTTGAAAAAAAGAATATTTAGATTTCCGGCTATTATTAGGCAATTTGGATTATTATTTCGATGTAGATTCTGGCAAAGTTAAACTTTAAGCACTACTAATTATTACCAGTAGATTGGATAATGCGACAGACAGTTGGCCGGGGAACGAGGAAACAGGCATACAATGGACACTCACACAAAGACAAACTTGGAGGATCTGGACTTCACCAATGCGATATATATATGTCTGACTTCCCACAAACACTAGAAGATGTGCAAGTGAAAAGCAACAAGTTGGCGATAGAAGAAGCATCCAGAGAAGATAGGACTTCAGGTGAACATAGAGAAAACAGAGGTGATGAAGATTCCTGGCCAACAGCAATGGCAGCAGCAACAACAGACAACAGTCAGCCGACATAAATAAGAGGAACCTGAAAGAAACAACCACTTTTACCTACCCACCTACCTGGGAAGCATCGTTTCGACTACAGGTGGAACTGAAGAGGATATCAAAGCCAGAATCAGAAAAGCAAGACAAGCTTTCATTACTCTTAAGTCTGTGTGAAGGTCAACAGAACTCAGCCTGGAAATAAAAATAAGATCCGGATTTTCAACTCCAATGTGAAGTCAGTGTTACTAAACGGATGGATCAGAGACTTGGGGCGTCATAAAGAGCACCTCAAACATACTACATACCTTCATCAACAGCTGTCTTCGCTCAATACTGCTCAAGATCAGATGGCTGGCCAGAAAAGATCAGCAATGGAGATCTCTGGGAGCAAACCAACCGAGCAGAAACCAATTCTGGAACATATATGCAGGAAGAAATGAAGATAGATTAGCCATTCTCTGAGGAAACAAACCATCAAGTGACGTCACTAGACAAGCCATTGCTCGAGTGGAACCCGGCCGAAAGGGAAGTGGCGAGTTGGTCGTCAGTGCGAGGGTGGGGTGACTTAGAGGAGGTCGTGTGAAGAGGAGATGAAAGCATGTGGGCAGACTTGGAGCCAGGTGAAAACTCTATCAAAGAACCGAAGGCAATGGAGACTTGGGACTGAAGCCTTATGTTCCTCTAGGAATTAAAGGATATAATAATAATAACTACCACCAATCAGTGAATGATCTCGAACGCACCAATCACGTGAAAGAGGCATTTTTGTGTATAGAATACATATATTTATGAAAGATGAATAAAAACTGTATAAAAGTGTTACAGAGGATAGCTTCCTCTCATATGGAATAAAAATAGTTCTCAGTTTTAGGTTCCAGTATCAACACGGTGGATAAACTTTATTTTGATAAAGTCTCAAAGTGTAATACAGTAATATTTACTGAGCAATAAATTGTGCTCAAGACGTTGTCATCAGTAAATATTACTTACTGTATAACACTGTGAAACTTTATCAAAATAAATTTTACCCACAATTGAGTTATACTGTACCGCCACAGTGCTCAAGTTCTATTCTTATGTCAACGCAGCAATTTACCCACATTCGATGCATGTAATTATTTAGATCTTCTAACCCTAACAATAACCCTAATCTTTTCTGAACCTAGCCCTAACGTGCAAAAATCTCTAAGCTAACTGTAATTTAACTCGAACCAATCGTAATGTCGCCTTTATTAGGTTAACTTAACCCTAACTTGTCTTCGGCTTAAAGCTTACCTTAATATTTCCCAAACCCTAAGCTGTAACTTGCCAGATATCCAATTTAATAGTGTCGGTGGCACAGTGGTTAGAACTCTCGCCGACCATGTAGATGGTTTGGGGTTCGATCCCCTGCCGACAAACACCTGATATCATTTGGTGGTGGTCGGCCTGGAAAATTTGGACTACCGATACTACATGCTGAAAATTCCTTACTTGTACCAATAATACGTTGTGGAATCAAGCTATAATAAAAAAATATTTAAAGAAATCACTTCGATGAGCATATTTTATTGGTGATGATGACACCATTATTTGCCAGGTTTCAGTAACTTTCTCAGTTTGCGTTTCTAGGTCATTGGTGCGGTCGCACTGCATTGGTATTTGCTGGTGCTTAAAAACTTAACTTGGTCTAGATTCTGTTAACACTGTTAATTTAAAGTCAGTGATCATTTTTTTTTATTTTTATTTTTTGATTACGGCTTGATTCCACACTGTATTTTTGGTATAAGTGTGGAATTTTCAGCGTGGATATCGGTAGCCCAAAATTCGCAGGCCGACCATAGATATCAGGTGTGCTTCGTCGGCGCGGGCTCGAACCCCGGACCATGTGCATGGTAGGCGAGAGTCCTAACCACTGTGCCACCGACGCACATGTGGTTGAGATTAGTGCTATAAAAGTGGGGTACAGTAGGTTGGGTATCAGAGCAAAATACTCGCCAACAATGACCATTGGCTTCTGTCAGTCGCGTTATATTGTGCGTGAATTGGCACAAGTTGGAATTCATGGACTGGCTTGCCACTGGATTGGCGGGTCCCAGTACCTCAATGGTCTACGAGCTCCCTTTGTAACCGGAAGATTCTGGGTTCAAACCCCGACGATGGGGCACACATACTGTCTAGGAGTTTAAAACTAGGTTGACGAAACAGCTTACCAGTACTCAAGTACTCTTCTACCGGTGTCACCTCATAATGAAATCCTCTAACTAAATTAGTAGAAGTGTTAGAACTCAACGGTCATTGGAATCTGGCTCAGGAGGTTGAATGGTGGCCGACTAGCATGATCTAGTAATCTGAAGGTTCTGAATTCGAACTCTGGTAGGATCATGGATGTGCACTTATTCAGAGTACGGAAATATGACTAAACAACTGTCCAATACAGTACTAGTTCCTAATGGTTTTCAATAATTGTGTAAATGATGTTGTTGGCCTATGATGAAATCTACTTATTTCTTGAAATGATTGGAGGGTTACACTTACACGTATATGCACCTATGTGTGATGTGAGATGATGCAGTCAAAATTCAGATTCAAAATCCTTGAGCTTCAGTTTAATGGAACCACTCACTATTCGGCTGCATTTCAGGTTTGATCACGATTTGAGATATCAATTATAGAGAGAAGATCATTGGAACTGGAGAGTATTGTGAACAACTGGAAGTCTTCAGTGGTATGCATTCAATAACGTCACTACGGATTTAACCCAGGATCTTCAGGTTATAAGGCAAACACGTTGACGACTATTTAGCCGCTGGGACAGAAACTAGTTACCCTTGAATTTGAACATGTTGATTTATTTTGAGGAAGTTAAGAAATACTAAAAGTTATTTAAGATTGAATTACTATTTAGTCCGACATTAGACTTTTTGTGTAATGTACACTTATTACGCCACCCCCCCCCCCCTGTACCAGCCGGGGTTCTACTCAAGGACTTTCCTGTTACAAGGCAAGATCTTAGACCATTAAGCCACTGAGACCCGAGAATCCAATGGCCAACCAGCCCATGAATTCCAGCTCTTCTACCAATTCACGCACGATATAACCCGACTGGCACTAGCCAATAATGGTCATCGCTGGTGAGGATTTGTCCTCACACTCAACCTGCTATACCCTAATGGTCATGACTTCTTACTAAAGCCCAGGTAACTACTTACCTGAATAGGGGCAGTTACTAATAAGCAGTATCAGAATGATATTCAAGTGTTGGTTTGAGGCATTTGATTTGATTGGTTTCAAGATTTCATCACGAAGAGGTGATATCGGTTGTTTTCACTGGGTGTTGTAATAATTTCACTAACCATTAAGCAAGTTTATCTGTTGGTGATCTATACATTGACAATAGAGAGTAGATGTTAATTTAGAGGTAGAAGATGAAAGACTTGGTAAAGGCAAATTTTATTTACAATCTGGTATCTCTATATGGCCATATAATGTACACCTTTTCTGAATATCGCCATTGGCTGCACACATCTTCCATGTGGTGCTACTTCTGGCCTTCCTTCATATTGTGTCTCTTTATCGTCCCTTTCACATCTCTCAGGTATCTCCGCAACTCTGTATCATTTGCTTTCTCTGGCATCACACCTGTCCCCTTGCTTTTTTATGATTTTATGCCTATGAACATCTCTTTATACATATACTACTAACAAATCTAATTAGTAGCATACGCCACATTATTGTTATTCCTCATAAAAAAAGACAAAATATATTTAATTTCATTTTGTTAAATTTTTCTAATTTCTTTTTAAGAATTTTATTTTATTTTATTTTTTCATTATACTCACAAAAGGGTTAGAAGAAATTCAAAGTGATGGTGATTTGCCTCAATGTCCAGTATGCGGTTGTGTATGGATAGAATTACCAAATTTTGATATCCATCTCACCACCGTCAATGGAAATGTTAATACCAACATCAACAATAATAATACTGATGATCAAGTAACTGAGATGAATGATTTCGTGGGGGATCCAAATGACACTAAAATGATTTCCTCAGCTTCATCGTCCTCGTCCTCTTCCTCCTCCCCCTCTTCTTCTTCTTCGGAACAAATTGAAGTTGGTGAACAACAACACCAACAAGAACAACGGTTGACTAAAACTCACCAGCGTGGTGCTGATAATAACGATGATGCTGTTGGCGATGGTGATTTTGATGTTGACAATGTTGGCGGCGGCGTCAGAGACGATGATGATGATGATGATGATGGTGATGGTGATAATAGTAACACTGACAGTTTTCTACCTTCTCATCAGTCACATCGAAGACAATCGACCACTAATCAGCGTAAACAGGAACACCACGACCACGACCACCACCAACAACAACAGCAGAAACAATCATCAAATGAGACGCCATGCTCCTCAATTCTCAATCAATCAATGAAAAATACACAAGCTATAGATTCAATAGATTTAAATGGGAATATAACAATGATGAATAGTGTGCTATCTAATCCACCATTTTCTGAATATAATAGTTGTATCTCAGCTTTCTCATTAGAAGTAAGTCAATTGTTATTACTATTATTATTATTTCCTTTAATTCCTAGAGGAACATATGGCTTCAGCTGTTTTCGCCAATCTCCTACATGGTGCACACGTTCCATGTCCCCACAAAAAGCCTTTTTTCTTTCGGTGCAAGGAAATTCATCGTGCTGAAGTTTTTGTAGAAACTTTATTTACAAGGTGGTGGGGTTGCGAGTCTCACACCTGAGAAATTGGGGGGGCGGTTACATTAAAGTATAGTTAGTTTACAGAGAAGTGACCTTGTGGGTTTTCTTCCCGGTGGAACATAGGGCCTCAAGCTAGTTTGTCTGTCTGGATTCAACATAGAACTTGCCACCGAAGTGCAGCACTTCGAGTTACCATGTTCCAAATAGCCCACAAAGGTAGACAAGAAGATGAGTGGAGAGAATCAATAGAGTCTGACAAGTATAAGAGTGAAACAGAATGGGGAATGGTAGAAAGGAATATGAAAGATTACAGAGACTGAATACATCTGCGCTGGCCATTGACAACGATTTTGAGCCATGTCACCTACTGTCTCCAGGCATTGATTCTTTGAGTCCCGAGGGCCCTAACCCGGAAGTCTTCATCTCCCCCTACCTGACTCAGTTTAACTGTCAAGGATTTCATGGATTGATGAGGCCATGTTTTTGTTTGGCCACCACTTACTCTTTTCCAACCTGCACCTATATCGGCTAGCTAGTAATGCCCGTCGTCGGGGGAGCCCGATGGTTAGGCATGCGCAGCACGTGACCTAGCCATCTCAATCTATGTAACTTTATAGCCTCGTCGATTGATTTTCCCTGTTTGCCCAACACTCTAAGCCTAACGTCAACATTACTTACCTTATTAAACCAACTAACGTGAGACAGAGATCGCAGACGTCTATGATTGAAAGCAGTCAACCTTTTCATCTCTTCAACTCGTATTGGCCATGTTTCAGAGCCATAGAGAAGGACGGAGCGAACTGCTGAGTAGTACACTTGCCCTTTGGTTGATAGCCAACCCGATGTCATGCCTACGCCAGAGATGGTGTAAGTTAGCGGAAGCAGCTCAACCTTTTTGGATCCTTGCTGGTGGCTTGAAGTTTCTGTAGCAGTGTTTAATTTTACAGGATGGGGGTGCTAGCCGGCTTCAAGCCCAACCTTTCCTCTTTACCAGCATTATTTCTGGCTTAGTGAGGTAAAGGAGTACATCAGTGACCGGGGATCGAACCCCGGACCATGTGTATGGTTGGTGAGCGCCCTAACCGCTAGCTATGCCACCGACGCACTACCGACCTTGTGGATTGCTCCCCTTAAAATCAGGAAAACAAGGAATGAAGCAATCAGGAAAACACCAGCAAAAGGAACATAATTCACAACAGGAAGGGCAACAAGCGACAACGACAATAATAAAGAAAATAACATTAGCAGTAGTATCACAGTCAGATATAGCTTACAAAAATGATACCAAAATCATAGACTCTTTGTCTTGAGTCAACTTAGACATGTAAATCCATCAATATATACAACGACAGATATTAGTTAGTGTTAGACAGTCACAAAATGGCAAGGAGATAGTTATAGGTATTATCGGCCCGAGGTTCGATCCCCTGCCGACGCACACCTGATATGTATGGTCGGCCTGCAAAATTTTGGCTACCGATATCACATGGCATTCCTACCGGTGTCCAACAATCATTATATTTCCTGACCTGAAGGCGGAATTCGATTCTGTCGACCGAGAGGTACCCTGGCGATGCTTGGCAGTAAAGGGAATGCCGAGAAAGTACATTGCACTCATCAAGGCACTCTACTCGAACTCATGCGGCCAGGTGAGGGCTTACGGCGAGTTGTCGTCTGAACAGGTGACGACTAGTGGTGTCCGTCAGGGATGGTCATCATCCCCATTTCTATTCAACTTCATCAACGATGTACTGATGGACTTAACCCTAACTCACTTCAGAGACACATGGATTGACTTACTACCAGGGAATAATCTCGTTTATTTAGAATTTGCAGACGATATAATCCTTCCAGACGAGGAGTTTGAGAAAATACAGAGTCTTCTGAACACCATGAGCTGCAATCTACAAATGTTTGGCATGCGATTCGCTCCTGCTGTCAAATGTAAGATGATGCTACAGGACTGGACAACACTGACTCCTAGTTTAGAAATAGGGAGTGAAGTGGTAGAGCACGTTGACCGCTTCACTTATTTGGGAAGTTGCGTCAGCCTGCGCCAATGGGTTGATGTCTGACGAAATTTCAGCACGGATTCAGAAGGCTCGTTTCGCATATGCCAGTTTACGCCGTCTCTGGCTAAGTAGACGAGATATCCGACTATCGACCAAAGGGCGTGTGTACTGCTCAGCAGTTAACTCTGTCCTCCTTTATGGCTCTGAGACCTGGCCATTGAGAGTAGAAGACATGAAAAGATTAGCTGTCTTTGATCATAGGTGCCTGTGTTCTATCTCCCGTGTTAGGGAGGCGGTATAGTAAGGTGAACAATATTGAGGTTAGGCATCGGTCGAGTGCTAGGTAAGTAGGGGAAATCAATCGGCGAGGCTGTGAAATGACATCGACTGAGATGGTTAGGACATGTGTTACGTATACCCAGCCTAGTCATCGCCTTCCTCGATGGACAATGTTAGCCGACATGTGGTCAGGTTGGAAAAGAGCCAGTGGTGGTCAAACCAAAACATGGCTTCGTCAGTCAATGAATTCCACAACAATTAGTTTAAGCCATGTAGGAAGATGTAGACTTCCTGGTTGGGGTCCTCGGGATGGCAGAAACCGATGAAAACTGGAGACAAGTGGTGATATGGCTCAAAGTGATCGTTGTCAATTGCTGGTGCGGATGCATCCACTTCCCGTGACTTATACTTTCCAATAAAACTATATTGTTCTTCGTTACTACTATTCCTTTTGTCTCATATCCCTGTTTACTGTCTGTATTATGCATTTCTCTTACTTTCTTCTCGTGCTTTGTGTGCTACATGGAGTGGAGTGTGGAGACTTGAACTGCCGCAAATCAGTGCACAATTCTATGTCGAAAACAGACAGATCGATATCACATGCTGAAAATTCCATACTTGTACCAAAAATACGGTATGGAATCAAGCTGTAATCGAAAATAAAAAAGATTATATCCACAGATTCAATGTTGGAAAGGCAAATAATTACAATAAGTTCCACAACTTCTTGGCAAGAAATTCCACAGAAATAAGAGTTTTCTATTCTCTCCCATTTATGTTGTCATTACTAGTTTCACAACTTTTTTATTTTCCTTTTTGGCCTTTCTCGATCTACCTAATGAATTTTATAGGATAGTTATTTAACACCAAAGCCTCTTCTATCTGTTTTATTTCATCATTTAGGTCTTTTCTTGTACTTCTTATTGCCACTGCTCAGTTTGTTATACACCCTTAACTAACCCTGCCTTAACAGTTAACAGATCAGATGAATTAAAGTCTAAATATTAGAAAAAATAATATAATTTACAAAATACCCTCCAATGACTGTGAGTTAAGTCAACTACATAGGTCAAACTAGTAGGTCAGGGGTAGTCAGATTGTCAGAACATAAGAATATAGCTAAGGTAAGAATGGTTGACCCCGAGAAGACAGATGAGTAATTTAGAAAAAAGCTCAGGAATTGCACTGCATGCATTAACACACAATATGGTGGGATGGGGTTAAAATTGTAAAAAGTAATCTGGATAGGTGGAGAGAGAGAGAGGTTGATTACTGAATCCTTGTTCATCGAGTCTACACCCAACACGTTCAATTGGAATGACTTATCACTCATACCGGAACTATGGAAAATACTACTAACAATCAAATCAACCGTTGGAAAATAATGGAATTATATAAACGAAGTCAGAAAGTTGTGTGAGTGAACAGCTTGATATAATTATGAGGAATAATAAATTGTGCTCGAAACGTGGTCATCAGCAAATACTACTTACCGTATAACACACTGTGAGATTTTATCAAAATAAGTTTTACCCATAATGGAATTATACTCTACCGCCACAGTACACAATTTTTATTCTTATGTCAACAGAGTAATTTAACCGCATTCTATGCATGTAATTATTTAGATGTTTTAATCCCAACAATAACTCTAATCTTTCTTGAACCTAACTCTGACTGTAATCTAACTAGAACCAACCCTAATGTCGCCGCCTTTATTAGGTTAACCTAACCATAACTTGTCCTTAGCTTAAACCTAAGCTGAAACTTGCCAGATATCCTATTTAATACCATAACACTTCAATGAGCATATTTTTATTGATCATGACAACATTATTTATCTACCAGGTCTCACTAACTTGCTCATTGAGCGTTTCAAGGTTACATTGGTGCGATCGCACTCCCTTGGTAGTTAGTTGTTAGTGGTGCTTAAAGTTTAACTTGACCCTTATCCCGTTACACAATATCACATAACATACTGATGATAATATTTACAAGCTTGGTAGGTAAATTTTAATTAATGTTGTGTAGAGAACAGATCGATTAGTGCTCATATTTTGCATTGATAAGATTTAATAATGTGAAATATTCCCATACAGAAAATCAAAACAAGTGATTCAGTGAAGAGACTCTTTTCAACGAATTTATCATCAAGCTGCATAAAATAATAATAATAATAGTATGAAATGCAAATATTTTATGCATTCACACCTATGATTCAATTCCCTCACCGGATATAGCTTAGTAATATATATATATATATATATATATATATATATATATATATATATATATATATATATATTGTATGTGTGCGTCGGTGGCATAGCGGTATGGACGCCCATCGATCATGCACATGGTCCAGGGTTCGATCCCCGGCCACCAACGCACTCCTTTACCTCGCTAAGCCAGAAATAGTGTCGGTGAAGAGGAAAGGTTGGGCATGAAGCCGGCCAGCAACCCCATCCTGTGAAATAAAACACTGCTATAGAAACTTCAAGCTTGAAGGTGCCGTATGTTCCACTGGGGAACGTGAAGG